CTGTGTAAGTCCGTTGCTTCCTATTTCAGGTGGGTGATGTAATTTGGTAGCTAACTGCCTGCCCTCAAGAAATTAGACAGGGGTCTGGAGCTTCCTCCCTCCAACCCCAAGCTCCCAGCGCTGACGTCACGTGGAGTTCACCTTCACCCGAACACCTGCGCATCCCACCACCAGACGGGACAGGGCATTCTGGTGAACCGTTTCTGCAACACCACGCTCCGAGTTTGCCCAAAACTCGCAAACCTTCCAACATCACAACGCAGCCCGAATAATCGACCACCATGAAAGCGATTTACGCCTTCCCGGCGACACTCGCCCTCGTGTACCGAGCTTGGTCGCACCAGTCCCTGACCCCCGCAGGCATTGTCGCCGCCGTCATTACAGCTATCGCTCACGCCTACCACCCGTGGAACCTGCCATTCGCGCTGCTTTGCACTTTCTTCCTCGCTGGAACCAGAGCAACAAAGGTACGGCTAGCTCCCTTGTTTCAACGAAACGCCAAATGCTAAATCTACTCCAGGTCAAACACGATGTCAAGGCACAAATGACAATGGCCTCGCGCGGCACATCAGGAGGTGAAGGAGCACGCACCCACGTCCAAGGTCAGTTCAATAGAAGCTTCCCCAGAGTGATCAGCGCAGTATAGCTAACTTTATCCCTCCAACAGTCTTCGCCAACTCGCTCATGGCCTCGTGCCTCTCCCTCCTGCACGCCTACCAACTCAACAAGCGCAAGGACGCAATCCTCGACACCACGACCCCGAACCCCTCAGGCACGCTCTGCTTCTCCTGGGGCGGCGACCTCCTCGTGATCGGAATCATCGCAAACTACGCCGCCGTCGCCGCCGATACCTTCAGCTCCGAGCTTGGGATCCTGGCCAAGGGTGAGCCCCGCCTCATCACGTCCCCGACCCTGCGCAAGGTCCCGCGCGGCACAAACGGAGGCGTGACGCCCCTTGGCATCGCGGCCGGCGCTCTCGGCTCCATGATCATCGTCACGGCCTCCATGGTCTTCCTCCCCCTCTGCGGTGACGACAGCGCCGGCAAAGTCGGCGGCGGCCTCGGCGCCTGGACCACGCAGCAGCGCTCGACCTTCATGCTGGGCATGACCCTATGGGGTGTCCTGGGAAGTCTGCTCGACAGCGTGCTAGGCGCCGTCTTCCAGCGCTCCGTGCGCGACGTGCGGACCGGCAAGATCGTCGAGGGCGAGGGCGGCGCAAAGGTTCTCATCGCCAGCGATCCGGCCGACCACGCCGACAAGAACCAGAAGCGCGCTACTGTCAAAGCCGCTGCGCTTCACGGGGAGGGCAAGGGCGCTGTTGAGAAGATGGTGGAGAACGCAGACGTCAACGCTCTCGAGACGAGCGATGCGAAGAAGAGGTATGATCCCGAGGACAAACATCGCAAGCCTACCATGGGCGACGCCAAACCCTCGCGGGTCGTGGAGACTGGGTGGGACTTGCTGGATAATAATGACGTGAACTTTCTGATGGCGTTCACCATGAGTATCGGCGCCATGGGCGTAGCGAGCTGGTACTGGGGTATTCCTATTGAGACGATACTCGACCTGTAAACTAGTAATACCATTGACACTTTCTGCACATCATCTCGAAGAAGTTCGAATGCGCCATGTGAGTGAATGCATCACAATACCATCCAAATTATCCTTCCCTTGCCCTGTACCCATTCTGGACGTCGTGATGTGCCTCAAACTACCGTTCTATACTCGATGTCAGCCTCCTGCGTTATGACGGGTACATAGTACGCGTAACTCCTGACAACATAGCGTATAAGTCATGTTGATATTAGCGTCTGTACCCAGTCACTGTTCTCAATACAACAACATACCTCTCTCATGATACTAGTATCTCAAACTTAATTTTCACGCGCAAGGGGCTCGGCCAGTATGTGCGTCGATCTTAGTGTCGACTATCAAAAACAAAGCAATCATGAACATGTTGAATTCTCAGTAGGGTAGAGGGCAAAAAAGAGGTCATCGATAGGGAATCGAACCAAAAAAGCGAAGCCTCTGGTTGAAGGGTGGTCGAGGAAGAACGGGTTCCACTGGCGCCCCCTTAGCCCCTCGGCCACCTGCCCCTTTCACTTCAGGTTGTGTTCAGATGAGGAGAGAAGTGACCTGAATACCATCCGCCTCCTCTTTTTCCAGGTAGATTGGACGGGCGGTGGGTCATTGGCTGTATATACTAGCATGAATAGAAGTGAGTAGGTAGTACTATACTAACCGAATAAACAAAGAAGTAGGTTCACCTTGGGGCAAAAAGAAAAAAGGTCACCAGTGGAGAATCGAACCAAAAGCGAAGCGAAGGTTGAAGGGTGATCTCGAAAGAACGGATTCCACTGGCGCCTCCTTAACCCCTCGACCACCTGTCCCTTCCACTTCTCATTATGACAGAGAAGTGACCTAAGTACCATCCCCTCACCATCCTGCCAGATCTATAGGGATAGCTCATTGACCGCGTACTGACATGAACACCGACCTTGATATCATCTCATATAAACAGCAAAAGAGAATACCTTCACTCCCTCGCCCACGTCTTTGCAATATCCCCCAAAACCCTCGTCACAACCTCGAAATCCCTCTCGACATCAACCCTCCAACTCCCAACAGCAACCCTCACAGCCTTCCTACCCTTCCAACTCGTCCCGCTAACATACACCTCCCTCGTGCCATTAATCCTCCCAACAAGCTCCCCATTCAACACCTCATCCCTCGCGCGGAACAGCACGACCATATGCGTCATCTCCTCGATATCCCACGCCCCCTCAGGAAGCAGCTCATACGCCTCCGAAGCTCGAATCCACGCCGCCAACTTCCGCGCAAGCACAACCATGCGGCCCAGGATCGCCGCCAACCCGCTCCGCCCTTCGGACCGGAGGACGGCGTAGGCCGGTAACGCGCGGAAGCGGCGCGAGTTCTCGAGGCCGATGTTCAGGGGTGAGGGGATGGCGGAGGCGCCGGCCGAGGAGAGGTAAGCTGCGTTTGGGTTCGTGAAGATGGCTGTTTGGGTTGCGAGGGAGCGGCAGAAGAACATGCCGCAGTCGTAGGGCTGTTCCCCAGCAAACATTAGTCTACTTCATACAGCAGGAAAGAAAGAGGGGAGGGGATGGGGTTGATAGAAGGGTTTGATGCGAACGTACCACGTTCAAAAGCTTGTGTCCGTCCACGGTGATGCTGTCCGCGAGTTCCAGCCCCGAAGCCATCTCTCGAATCTTTGCAAACTCGGGCTTCGCCTCGAGAGCCCTCGCAAAGATGCCAAAAGCTGTCAGACCAACCATCGTCAGCAAAAATCTCACCACCTTCTCAACCACAAACCCACAAAAAGAAAAAAAAGATAGCAACGGAAAAAAAACTCACCACCATCAACATGAATCCACGCCCCAAACCGATCAGCCAACCCCTTCAACCTCCCCATCTCCCCCTTTCCCCCCGTCGCGAACCTCCCCGTATTCACCTCCCCCGCGCTCACCGCAATAATACTCGCAACCCCATCCTCCTCTCCCGCCTGCAACGCCCTCTCCACACCCTCCAAATCCAACCTCCACGGCTCGTCCTCGCTGAACGGCAACTCTACAACATTCGCCCTCCCGATGCCCACCACGCTCGCCGCCTTGGAAAGCGAACTGTGCCCCATACTCGTCAACACCCTCACCCCCTTCACCCCGGCACTCACACACGCGCCGAGAAGCCCTTGCTCTCCTACATTCCCACCCCTTTTCGCAATAACATATTCCCTTCCGCACGCGAGGCCGAGGATGTTACTTGCCGTTGCGCCGGTGGTAAACGTCTTCCCCTTCCACACCTCTTCACTCCCGCTGCCGCCGCTTCCGTCCTCGAGCCCCAGCACATCAGCAAGCATCCCCAACGCAACGCTCTCCACCTCCGTAGCGACAGTCTGCTCCGGTAAATGCACCTGCACATTCTGATCCAGCGCCGAGACGATATTGTCAGCCGCCTCGGCGACGGGTAGGGTACCCCCCGTCACGAAGCCGTAGTACCGTCCGCTGCGCGCCTGGCCGTTGAGGGCGGGGACGATGTCCGTCAGGATGTGGGCTAGGGTTGCTTCGGTGCCGAGCGGGGCGAGGTAGGCTCCGTCATTGTCCTTCTCCTCTCCCTTTGCATTGGTACCCGTATTGACATCCGTGTTGTGAGACGGTAGTCGTCGGGGCAGGGAGGCAGATGCGGCGGCGAGGGAGGCCCGGGAGGGCAGGGTGGGGGCGTCGGACCCGTCTGGGATCGCGGCGCGGAGCCGGGCTTGGAAGGACGGGGATGTCATTGTTGTGTACCTTGGAGTTTGTTTGGGGTAAGTGTGTGGGGGGGATCCGGGGTTGAGGGTAAGTAAGGTTTTAGAAAACCTGGAAGTAGCTACAAGAAATGTAAACCAGCCAGAGTACGGAGTATCAGTCCTTTGTAGGGTATGTAACAAGAAGTCGTATTTTCAAGCTACCTAAGGAACATAGGGTAAGGTATGTACAACTTGGCACGCACCCGGCGAGGCTTTTGTGGTTTCCCGGGATTTGACTCATAGCCCCGTTGCGGCATTTGAATCCTCGGCCTCGGCCTCGCGTCCTCTAGCGGGACTTTTGGGAAATTTTCGGTGAAATCCTACCGGAATCCTACGGGAAAGTAGCATACCTACTTACTCGGAGCTATGGCACAAGGTCTAGTGTGGAGTCGACAAGAGGCCGCCGCCGCAAGGGTTCCGATCTCGGCATATCATCCCATCGGGTCGGCGCAACCCCTCGTCGATTCTCGGCCGTGTGCTTTTCGGTCCCGGTCAAGTTTCCCCGCGAGGGGTTTAGACTGCAAGGGTCTTTCTTCGCATAAAGAAAGCTACGTTGGTGAACGCAACTCAAATAGCACAAAGAACAGATGACACGCAAAGTCAAAACGATATCAAAACACAGAGAGAACGAATTTGGTATACGCGTGCAGGGAAGAACCCTCCGCAGGTCATGGTAGTCTGGAAACGAGCAAATCGTGGCATGCGAAAATTTCCGGACATCGTCTCGAATCGATAGTTTTATCTTACAAAAAAACGGAAGAAAAGCAAAAGAGAAGCATGTATTTACAAGAAGAATCAAGACCTCGAGACACCCCTCCTAAAGGCCTTTTCACATGTGCCGCGCGCTTAGACTGGCAAACGCGTCTGGGCTGTGTCGCCCGTTCGTCCACTGCATATCCGTAAATGCCATGCTCTCGCGGCTGACACCCGCCTTACGCGGCCCGACAGCATTCGCTACGGGGGGCGCCATTGCCTGCTGTGGCGGCGGCGGCGATGACATGCCTCCACCACCACCGCCGCCATTCATCAAAAAGGGGTTCTTGCTTCCTGCTGCCATGGACCCGCTCGCTGCGTCTTGGCTCTGCTGCTGAGGTGCTGCGACTTCGGGGTGTACCTCTGGCGTCTGCGCCTGGGTCTGGGGTGCAAAGGGCTGAGGCGCCAGCTGCGGTTGGCTGTACAGTGCCAAGATCGAAGCCTTGTCGGGCCGTTGAGGTTGCAGGGGCTGCTGTTGGTACGGAGCCTGTGGCGTTGGAACCTGATATTGTTGCTGCGGCATCTCCTGTTGCTGGAACGGCTGTTGCGGCTGCTGCTGCTGCTGCTGCTGGAACGGCTGTTGAACCGGTTGCTGGAAAGCATTTTGTTGCTGCTGCTGATAGGGGTTCTGTTGCTGCTGCCCAAACGCCGGCTGCTCTTGCTGGAATGGTTGCTGGTACATCTGCTGCTGCTGTGGTACCTGCTGTTGCCCCGTAGGCTGCGAGCCTAGTTGTGCAAAGAAGGGGTTGCTGCTCTGTGGTGTCATCGTCTGCGGAGAGTCCATGTAAAAGTTCGATTGCGACTGCTCGGGTATCTGGCCTAGCGAAGGCGACTGGATTCTTGTCGGAGATCGAGTGAACGGATTGTTCGCGTATGGGCTTGACGATGGCCCTGTGTTGACTGCAAGGTTTTGTTGCTGCTGAGGCTGCGCCTGGTTCGTGAGGAATGGGTTGTAGCCCGTTGCCTGCGGCTGGATGGGTTGGGGATATGTCATATTACTATTAAAGCTCATGGGGTTGTAGTTTTGCTGCTGATGCTGCTGCGGAATGGGAGGCGTCATGGACTGCTGGTACATTTGCTGAGGCTGAGCAAATGGCTGGGAAGCCGGCAATCCGCCCGTGTGGTGCGGAAATAGGGGTTGCGCTGGAGCGAGGGACATGCTGCCGAAGGCCTGGGCAATATCTTGCTGCTGTTGCGTGGGAGCTCCAAACGGGTTGTTCGCGTAAGGGTTTTTGTTCTGGAGCGTGCCGGTCGATTGGGAAGATTGCGGCTGCGGCGGCAGCATGTCGAAGGGGTTGTTGCTCGAGGCTGTCGAGGGCGACTGGGGGTGGTCACTGAACGTCTGATGCGGTGCAGATAATCCACTAGACGTTGACAGGTTCGCGTGCGAGCGTGTCGCGCGCAAAGAGCTCTCACGAGGCCCTGTCAAAGAAGGTGACCGTCTATCGCTCTCGCCTAACCGCACCAGTGTCTCAATTGCGCGCTCCAGGTTTCCGTTCACGCCCTTCAGCACCATAGCGTTGCGCTGGCCATCGGAGAATCCCATGTCCCTCAGACTGGCCAATTTCCTCTCTGTATCTTCCTGCTCGTACGACACGCTTGCGCCAAACACCTTGGAGGGCTTGTTCGGCAAATCGCTGGGCGAGGGACTTCGCGGCTCGCGGGGACTCGACATGGTGTTACGCAATGACGAATCCTTTCTCAGCCGAGACGATAGCGGGAAGATTGACGAGGCTGATCTGAAGCCAAACTTTCCTCCCGACTTTGGTGGTAGCGGCGGAGGAACGCCTTCATCTGAAAGGCCCGAATGTTGCTTCCTCGTGGGGATGGGGATGTTGTTCATGTATTTGGTGCGGATAAATCGTTCCATGGCGGAATCAGCTTCGTCGGCATCGACAGGAACGGGAGGTCTCTTGTTATCGGGGTTGTAAATCTGGTTGGACCTGACATTTCCGACCTTTTTCATATTCTGCGAAGGTTTGGTCAGGGGCAACGAATCTCGACATGGGGCATGCATTTGCACAAACCTCCACTTGTTCATTAGACCAGCTGTCCATGCTCAAGGATTTCACCTTTGAGATATGGGTTCCCAACTTTCGATGGATAGCGGCACATCTCATGCAAAGGAACACGCCCAGCTATAGTCGCACGTCAGTCTCGCTCGTCAAAGGTGACCGGCCCAATCGAATGGGCATCGTATCGATGGGGCGCATGAGGGGGAAGAGTCGCGCTTACACTCCAAGAGGCCCATGCTGCGAACTACTGTCAGTTTTTGGCCCACGGTCTGAGCGGCGGGAGAGGGAGCACAATCGCACTTACCTGGGTTCCGCGCCTGGCAGTCGGCGCACAAGTTGTTCCCCGGTACGGACTGGACCAGATCGTGAAGGACCTTTTCGTTACGCGCCTGCTGGCGCTTGCTCAGGACACCGGCCATGGTTGGATAGAGTACTGTGTGCAACGGTCGACGTTGGCGGCAGCGTGTGTCGTCGGGGCGCGGTTTGGTGGTTTGGCGGGTTCGTAGGAAACAAGTTTGGGTTGGACAAGGCGCGGGTCGTCAAGATCGGAAGGCAGATCGAGGGGTTCTCTTCGGGCCAACCAGGGGCGGGCGGCGGCAGGTAATTGGGCGGAAAGATGGGTTTTAGGAAGGGGTATTAAGAAACAAGGTGTACCATGGAGATTATGCACTGGGGAAGAGGGAGCCCGATGTCGAAGGTGGAAAGGGAAACGCGACGACAAACATGGCCTCAATCATGCGTAGAGGAGGCTGAGGAAGACGGACACCAGCGTCGGAGAGTGAGACGGAATGAATGGGATTGCTGATGGCGGCGGACCAGGCTGCATTCGAGAAGGGAGCAAGAAGAAATGGCCGTTTGTCGACTTTGGGATCGAATTGTTTTAGATGGCCTCGGCGGCGCAATGGAGCAACAAAAGAATGCCCTCAGCAATCAAAGACGATGGGATGCTCCACATGTGCTGCCCAAAATGATGTGTGTGTCTTGGTAAGACCTTGTGAGCCTTTTCGTAAGTAGTGCGCGACTCAGGAAAAAAGGAGAGACGATCAACCTGCAAAGAAGCACCGGATGGCATACAGGTGCAAGCAGCAAGCAGCGAGCCCAGCAGCAAGAGGGGAAGAAAGGCCCAAAGGTGGAGGGAGTCGGCCGTCTAGCCCAAAGAGGATAGTGCCAATGGACCTTGGGCTTGTGGAGGGGGGCTCAGGGGCGCAGGCTAAGTGGTGATGGGTCTGGACAAAGAAGCCTGCCGCTTCTTACGTAGTCATCCTGTGGGAGGCGGGAGAGAGTGAGAGAGAGAGTGAGCGACGAGGGAAAACAAATAAAAATAAATAATATCAAAATAATATCAGAGGGGTCGGTGCCAGTCCCTGGTGCTGGTGCTGGGTGCTGGGTGGTACTTGGTTGGACTGGCATCGTGGGAGGAACGCGTGGAAGTGGATTCGGGGCCCCTCCACGCTCGGCTATCCGCGAATTACGGCCCCGGCTCACCTCCCGTCGTCATCTTGGGCCATTGGTTCCCGTCACGGGCCAGTGGACCCCAGCCTGCTCAGAGGGGCCCGACATTGATCCGGTGGTGCCGCGGGTCCGGGTGCTGCCGAGCGCAATGTACGTAGCTACTACGTAGATACACATGGCACACCCGACGATATCACACAGCTTTGATTCGCCTGACGAATAGGAGAAGCCGTCTATGAACTTGAAAGTCTTTCTTGTTGCTTCTGTCATTCACACTTTGTCGATTGATCAACTCGGTCAACTGCACCTGCTCGAGTGCCACTCGCTGATCCGGTTTCCAACGCTGCGGTGCTGCTACCAGATCGTAGCGATCGTTTCAGCTGCTGCATGTCGCCTTGTGCCACCGGCTCGTAACGGCTATTAGGTAGCATGAGATGCTGTCTGACCTCACCCCTCGCCTTGACAGTTTTCGTATCGAGACCCGTCTGCCTCTGCCTCTGCCTCTGCCTCTGCCTCTGCTTAGGTGCTTCACTCTTGTCCCTCGGCCTACGGATGCCTCACCTGTTCAGGATTCATGCCTATACTTTGCCAACGTAATCCCATCAAGGGTAGGCAGTCAGCATGGCAGACTGATAGCCATCCGACGAGGCCGAACCAGGGTGGTTCGGGGATGTCACTGTGTATTAATGTGTCTGGTAGATGAAGTGCGGCTCACTCGGCCAATCAGCTCAAGTCAGCAGATGCTCATCCGCGGTTGCCGACCTGCCGCCATTCCCTAATTCAAGGTCCTCAGCACGCAGCTCGGGGTCTATCATGCAACCGTTTCAACGCTCTGTTCTTGCGCAAGGTGACGTCGGGTTGTGGCTGCAAGAAACTTCCGTGGTGGTGGGATACGAAAAATTGGTTCTGAACATGTTCTGTGTACCCAGTGACCCAGTGACCCAGAACTTGGGAGGTGACTTTGAATGCCATGGGAGTCACGAGAGTCAATTGCCTGTTCTCCTTAGCTATCTTGAGTCGTACACCTCGGTTCCGCTGCATGGCAATCTCGGGGTGGTCGATAAGGCTGAGAATCCGAGCGATGAACGGGCGGAAAGATGGCTCTGCTATTCTAAGGTACGTTATGCAGGCGTTGGATTTACACCTAGGCAGGGTAATCGTTCGGAATAGGCTATGTTATCCGTAGCTACTATACTTACACACATACGCGGGTTGCCGTATCGCATCGTGTCGGTTGTGTTGGCTACCGCTTGGTGTATACTTTGTACGCACCGTCCGCCTATCGATACTTGATCTATCCGTACCTACAAAAAAAAAATACCTGGCTCCCAGCTGGCACATGCTTGACATACCTTACATGCAAGTTCCATCAGGTTTGCCTTACCAGCACAACGGTCCCCCGCCGCATTGGTTAGCGTAAAACAGCCCAGCCTCAACGTCGGGACTCTCTCGTCCTCCACCGACCGGGCACCTGCCACCCTGCCTTCGCCCGCGCGGCCGTCCGCGGCTTACCTACTTGTAACTTGGCACGCCGGCACAACCGCACAGCCCGTTTGCTGTCAGGGCCAGCCAGTCACAAGCCTCGCTTTCTTTTTCCAAATGACGTCCCGCCCCCAACCAACCGTTCGGCGGCCAGGGTAGACCTCAACTTGCGCACCTGTAAAAAGTTGTGGTGGTGTGGGTGAGGTGCGAGGTACGAAGTACGATGTGTGGCTGGGTGGTCTTGGGACGTGGGCCGCTGAGTGAGGTGTACAAAAAAGACATCCCACACGAATAAGGTACCTAAATGCCCGTGCTGGTGGGCCATGTCCGCGGTGCTCTCAGGTCCGTTCCGCGTACTTTATGTACCCGTACTCCGTACCCGACCTTATTAGGCCCGTACCTGGGGGGGGAGCTCACCCACTTTGACATACTGCAGCAGCTCTACCTACCTACCTACCTCACCTCTGACCAGGGTGACATTTGTTTCTCCCGCACCCATCTCTCTTCTCTCCCTCTCATCCCATTGAATTATTTCCAAATCTCCTTTGCCATCCACACCATGCCCCTTCAATAGCCTTGCGACCTGCACTGGAACGAGAACGCAGACGGGCCCCTCAATCCTGAATCCCTTTGCGAAAACCAGCCCACGGCTCAAGCTCCCATTCGAACCCGCAAAAATGGCGGGCATTGAGCAGTTGGAGATCCATAGCAAGGTACGTGAGTCGTCATTGTCCCCGGCCTTCCCCTTCCCCCTCCGCCAACGCCCTTGACCACAGACAGCGGCGCATCTTGACGCTTCTCTTCTCGATGCTGATAGCTTGCTCCAAATAGTCCTATATCGTGCGTTGGGTCAAAGTCGACGAAGGCCACACAATATCTTGGAGCGTCCAACCACACAAAAAGTCCATGTGCGTGCCTAATCCCTTACCCCCCCTTCTAAATCTCTCCTCTTCTGCGTCTCCAATTCCGACACGTGCTTACCAGTCGCCGAGGCAGTAACTTTGGAATCGTGAAGCACCCCGGAGCTGGCGCCGCCGGCCTCATTACGAATCAGAACGACGATGCCGCCGCCCCCGGATCTTTTACCTCTGGCGTCGCCGAGCCCAAGAAACCATTTGCTAGGAGGGATTCGAGCACAGCCGAAGAGCAGCTCGCCAACAAGGGATTCATACCCATCAAATGGCACGGGAAATGCGATGCGGATAAGGTATCGACCGGTACATGGGACGTACCAAAGGGCCAGGGCGGCATGTTCGGCTTGGTGTTCGACAACACCTTCTCGAAGCAGATCTCCAAGACGGCTACCTTCGTCCTTCTCACCTACCCGACTGGTGCACCTCCGCAGACTACAGCTCAGAACTTCCCGAACTTGCAGGCCGGAGCGAATGCGAACACCAGCAAGACGAGCTTGCCTCAGATGAGCGCCGTCACATCTGCCTCTCAAGACAGCCTCCATAGCCACGTTGCCGCAGGACGCCCGGCGTCAGCATCCGGCCGCAGCGATGGAAACGCCAACTACCATACAGGAATTTTGCACAAGAGACGGAGGAAGAAGGGCCAGGGTTACGCGCGCAGATTCTTCTCGCTGGATTATTCCTCCTGCACCCTCTCGTATTACTACAACCGGAACTCGTCTGCACTCCGCGGTGCCATTCCTCTCAGTCTTGCTGCCATCGCAGCCGATGAGCGCCGTAGGGAAATTAACATTGACTCGGGCGCCGAAATCTGGCATCTGCGGGCGTCCAATGCTAAGGAGTTCAACGATTGGGCCAAGGCCTTGGAGAAGGCGAGTCGCGCGGCGAGGGGTGTGGAGGAGCAGCAACCCAATACACTCAACCCCAGAACAACGCCTTTGAGGGTCAACACGACACATTTGAAGCCTACACAGTCAAGCTTGGAGGAAGATCGCGAATGGCAACAGGTCGAGACCCTAGTGAGTCGCATGGTCGGCACCAGGGACGCTCTTCGTCGCCTGGTCAAGGACATGTCAAATCAAAGGCCTGTTAGCATGGCTGCTTCGACATTCTTGTCACCAGGCACCTTGGGTGAGGAGCCGGACAGCTATTTCGCACCTCCCGCAGCGATAGAACAGCCGCAAAGGCGCCCATTCTGGAAGCGCAAGTCAAGTAACGCTACACCCACAGCATCCACGCCCCAAGCGCATCATGCCGCCGCCGCTGCCGCTCTTGCTGTTCCTTCTCCGGGTACTGTCACGACAACTATCAGTGCAAATGGACCCCGCCACTCAAAATCAAAGTCGAAATCGTCTGTCCACGAAGAAAAGAGCACACAAGAGCATTGTGCGGCACTCCTCAACGACCTGGATTCCGTTGTGTCTGAGTTTACGACCCTGATTGTGAACAGCAAGCGCCGACGATCTCCCGCTCCCCTCTCTGCAGCACCCTCTAGAAGAAGTATGGAGACAGTGTCGACGGAAGAGTTCTTCGACGCAGAGGCCGGTGAGACAAGCTCGCAGATCGTCAGGATTGCCCAGAGCGAAGATGAAAGCCCAGACTCGGATGCGGATGAACGTCTGAGTGATTCTTCCTCCATCTCTTCGGCTCAGGAGGATGAGGCTATAGGCTCCGAGGACACCGATTGCTACCCAGCGAAGCCCAAGAGCTTGTCGCCGTTACCGGTGGATATCTCCGTTGAGAGACGAACCAAGGTTCCGCCGGCTTTGGTGCAGCCTCCTAGTCTGATTGCATTTGTGCGGAAGAATGTTGGCAAGGATCTTAGCACGATCAGTATGCCCGTATCCGCAAACGAACCCATATCACTACTTCAGCGCGTTGCAGAACAGCTGGAATACGCCCAGCTGCTTGACCAAGCTGCTCAGCAGAAAGAGGCCAAGGAACGTCTCCTATACATCACGGCATTCGCAGTGTCGCAGTTCAGCACTGGCCGCGCAAAGGAACGCGCTATTCGGAAACCCTTCAACCCCCTTCTGGGCGAGACGTATGAAATGCTGCGAACCGAGCAGGAAGTGCCCGGAGGTTTCCGATTGCTTGTTGAAAAGGTTTGCCATCGTCCCGTCAGACTCGCCATGCAGGCCGACTCTGCGAGCTGGTCCTTCAGCCAGTCCCCCGCGCCGTCGCAGAAGTTCTGGGGCAAGAGTGCCGAAATTACTACGGAAGGCCGCGTTCGTGTCGCGCTTCGACTCCCAGATGGCACGGACGAGCTGTATTCCTGGACGCATGCCACAATGTTCTTGCGCAACGTGGTAATGGGAGAAAAGTACGTGGAGCCGGTTGGTGTCATGCAGATCTGCAACGATTCTTCTGGAGCCAAGGCCTCGGTCGAGTTCAGGAGTAAGGGAATGTTTGGCGGACGAGGCGAAGATGTTCAGGTTGAGACATATGGACCGGACGGGGTACACACCGGCAGCAGCCTCTCCGGCACATGGACCAACGGCCTCCGCGTCGTCGAAGCCGGCAAGGGGGCGGGCCGGGAGATCTGGAGCGTCGGCAAGCTCGTTGACAATGCGGCCAATACGTACGGAATGACCACTTTCGCCGCGGCCCTCAACGAGGTGACGGAGATTGAGAAGGGCAGGCTACCCTCGACAGACAGCCGACTCCGACCGGACCAGCGTCTGGCCGAGAAGGGCGACCTCGACCAGGCTGAGGAGTGGAAGGTGAAGCTTGAGGAGGCGCAGCGCGCCCGGCGTCGGGTGCTGGAGGAGAAGGGTGAGGAGCATAAGCCCAAGTGGTTCGTCAAGGTCGGCCAGGGCCCGGAGGGCGAGGAGGTGTGGAAGCTGAGGACGGGCAAGGACTCGTACTGGGAGGAGAGGTCCAAGGGGTCGTGGAACGGGCTGGAGGAGATTTTTGCTGGGTAGAGACGGGTGGCAGGCTCGTGGCCTTTTAGAAGAGTGAAGCGTAGAAGGGTTTCTACTCGGCGTTTTTGGGCGGGGGCTATTTGGCCCTGCCCCTCCACTTCCCTCCTATTCGAATTATTCTTCTGGATTATGATGGTGATTCTTTTTCATTCGAGAGGTGGTCGACGATAGCGCGTTGGCGAGCAAAGACGAAAAGAAAACTGTTTTGGGTGCTTGAAGCTTAATCCCGTTGCATGAGTCTTTCTACGTGATTGGTGCCACTGTTTCCGAAATCTCCTTCTTGGATGCCCAATATCGATCATGCGCGGGACAATTCCTGTACGATGGTTTGTTGTTCGGTCTGTAAGAGGCAGCGAGGTCCCTGTAGGTGATGAAAATGGAGAACCAGCAGAGTTAGGCTTGAGCTTAGAGGTGGAGCAAAGTTTGAAAAGGGCTGCAGAGACGAGGTTACAACAGATCGGAGTAGTTCACATAAGGTCTTAGTAAGGGAGGTGAGGTAGATTACCTATCTGAAGACCCAGATGTCATACTGCTGATAGTCGCGGGCATCCTCTCACCCGGAGCGTTGTCAGGGACCTCTTTGTTAATGGGCATGCGAGCGGTCTTTGACTGACTTCTGCATTGTTGCTTCAATGAGCCAGACAGCAGACTGTTCGGCTGGGATTTGATACTATAAAAGGCCTTTGATACAAGCCATAGAAAGACTCTGTATGCATGAAACATGCCTGCTCGGACGGCTTAGTATTCTATGGCAATTCCTCTTTGTGAGAGGTGTTCTGTTTTGATAACAATTTAACTTTCGCATGGCTAGGCCAAGGCATTGCTCCCTCGGAGCTCTAGTTCCCTTTCAACACTTGTGTCATCTGCAATGAATACATGGGCTTCATATGACGCTACCTGGTAAAGCTAAGTTCTTTCTAATCGTCCTGGTTATTCTATGTTCAATGTATCGTCGTGGACGAATACGTTCGCTTCTGACGACGATAATCGGTGAAGGATGGGCATGCGGGCACTTATGGAGCAGAAGAAGCGCCACCACAAGTGACTTTCCAAAGGTGGGAAGCAGAATCTTGAACATGAGGCCTGCTCTAAATGCCGAAAGAATTGCGCCAACTGTCGCGCCAAAACACGCACCGTTGAGGCGGCTGGTATCACTATGACGGTATGGCGCAATATATAGAGGCTGGGCAGCTTGGAATGCGTAGCCAAGTCTGTTCTCAAATAAAAGCTAACGTCCTAGAGAAGGTGTGACGATTATCCTGGATAGGCAGCTGGTCAGCGAGAGCTTTCGGATCGTCCTCTCGGTAGGCGGTTCACTTCGATTGGAGCTATAGTCCCAAAGCAACGGGGCGCTCATATAAAGGTGGTAAAGGTGGTCAGGATGCTTAGTACGGCCGATACGCCCACCTCCTCGTCAGTATTTCTAGCAGAGAACGTATTCAGCCTACGATACGTTGCGGACACAAAGTAACGAAGAGCAAGGCAGGTATTAAATGACATCAGGATACTAGAGCCTGTAACTAGAGGGCTGGACTAAGGATCGGGCTTATGGGGAGAGCTAAGCCTGAGCAGCACTGTCAAGATCTACATCAGTCGTATGCTGGCACATACTATGCACGAAACTCTGAAAGATACCGAGTCTAAAATGGTGCCGAAATGGAATCTACCTTTTTAAAGGTATCAACCGAAACAACGACGAAGCCGTTGATCTTTCCATATCCCCCTCTTGCTGGCGAAGACGTCTAGTGGAAAGGAGAGGTCAGTCTCCTGAGCAACAATTCGACGAGAACACTTCTCTAAGAGACCAAAGCTTCATCATTTCCAGTCGCGTCGCTCCTCGCCGAGACTCTGTGCCTCGACCAAAGATTACTCGCTCCCACCCCGCTTTCCCCGCCGTGGCCCCCGGTCCGGGCGGGAAACCCGGGGTTGCCCAGGTCTCTCCCGGGTCCTGTCCAGTATCCACTGCCCCGGGTGCGAGTTTTTGAGTTTTTTTCGCAAACTATTAAGAATGCGAGACCGATAAATGCCAAGATCAAAGCACGGAGAAGCCCGATAGCACATAGAATGAAATTGCTAACGGGGTCGGCCTAGGGCTGAGGCCGCCCCGTTTACGTACGCGGTGTTATAAACCTGCGTGGTTCGAATAAAGTAGAAAGGACTGCCGAGTTGGCAATTCTAATTGATTGATTGACGAGTCAGGTTAATGACTTTTCCATCTTGTAGGTCTGTTGCATGGAGCCGTGGGCAACTTTCGCCTACGCTCTTGACGCTAATGAAGGTTTAATATACTAATCGTCTAGGGGTTCTGGGTAATTGGAGCAGCTTGAGTTGACTGAGACGAGTGTCCTTGGGAAAGTTAGTACTTTATATATAAGCTTAAGGAAGCAAGCGTGTCAGAAAGTCTGCTTCATACCATCAAGAATCTCTTTACTATTCAGCCTGCCACTCCCAACACACTTTCTATCGTTATTAACAAATTGTAACAACCCCTCATAAAAATGCGTTTCTTCCTCGTATTTCTTCTCGCTGCGATGCAGCTCTGCGGCGTCAACGCCATCTTGCGTCTCCAGAAGTGCGGCACAGCGTTTGACAAGAACGTGAGTCCTCCGATCCAAGTGACCTCGAGGCAACTGTCCTGCCATAGGAAAAGTTCTCTCAGGACTAGGCTCATCTGGCCTTCTGCTTCGTCTTCGTGCAAAATGTTGATGCTAATTGGCCATGTAGTGGGCGTCGAACTGCAGTCCCACGGATCAGGATGGCTGCTACAAGTTGTGCAGCAACAAGGTAAGTTCTTGCGCTAAATTCCTCCTTCTTACACGAAGGACTCTGCCCTGGGTTGTGTGTGACTCACAGAGCATTTGGCTGACGTTGAACGCAGTGCCGGACTGCTAGTGGAAGATGGATGGCGAACGGCGCCGACTGCGATTGCTACTGTTAGAAGAGAGACAGTGGGAGCGCAATTTACCTTGAGACACAAAGCGTGTTTTCTTTCCAATAATACGAATCACACTTGATTAGGAAGCATCGTTCAGAGTAGGCTGCGTGAATCGACCACCATCACCAAGTCCTCATGCTATGCGCATGCATTCTCGCTGCGACGTTCCTTAGATGCGCAACGCTCATGACTCTCAGGCCTCCTTACCTGAAGCTACGGATAAATTCACCTGGATTCCCTAAATTGGACAAACAAGCCTATAAATGCATTCCATAATTGTCCTGTTCTTACGGGGCTTCCCATGCACCAGTTCGACGGCAGTCCGGCGACACGGTTCTCTTCAGCTGTAGAGTGTCGTTAATCAGACTTCACTGCTGATATGACTGAAAGTGAAGTGCCGCGTTATACATGGTCAGCTTTCTCATCTCCTCTTCTAATACCTGCTGCCCTTTACAGCCGAGACACCGACACATATACCCCAGAGAATACCATGCAGGTCAACCAAGATTTTGAAAGCAAGGAAAGAGCTAGAAAGTCCTAAAGAGACATTTGGGTACTTTCGAACCCAGTGCGCCTTCCTACGTTTCATTCAGCGCAATCCGTGCCGCGTGTCGCGACACCAGCGTCCACAACTCACAACTCACACCACAAACACCAAAAACTCATCACCATCACCCTCTCTTCACAACAACTCAAAAAGAAGTGACACAGATCAAAATAGAGACTCCTCGACGGGGAATTGAACCCCGGTCCCCTGCGAATCGTTGGAAATTCAATGACAAGCAGATATCCTCACCACTAGACTATCGGGGATGTTGTTGTGGTTGAAACTCCTCTCACAACGACTATGGCGGGCGACGACCCCACTGCACAACTGGGACTCGATGATGAGTGGGGACAGAAGAAATTTCATCAGTATAGTTCGATGGAATGAGAAAAATGAGAATGGCGGGGCATACAGGTTGAGAGATGAGTTGATCATAGGTCCTGTGTACGAAGTGGTCGGCTGTCTCACATCATGAATGCCACCGACTCAACCGACTCGACATATCAAGGAATATAGATAAGATTGCAACCTGAAATCAGCTAAGATCTCATTTTGTATCCGTCTCGCTGAGCTTTCATCCAGTCAATACGAGTCAAGTGACAACTTTGACCAACCAGATTCGAGTCCGATGAGGGGTAGAGCTTTGCACAAAATACAAATTGACAGGTCCAGCAATTCGGACTTGCTCTCAATGAGCCTTTAGAAAGAGGAGCTGTGGCACTTGTAGTCCGCAGATTACGCCGATAGACTGGCAACGTGACTATTGGAAATCGGGCAAGTAGCAACATAAGCTAAACTTCACGTCTTTGATCAATGTTTCTGAAACTGCAAACAACTCGTTCTGATCCTTCGGGCAATTAATTGTCTCTTCTCATAGCTGAAATAACTATCTTTCTTTCTTTCTCATCGCTGTCACTCAACTCCCGGACCTAAGTTCTGGAAGGAATTCGTCCGACTCCATGACTTAGATTCAAGAGAAGAGTCTGGCAATGAAGACAATTAAGAATCGTCGGATGAATTCAGAGGTACCAAAAAACTGATCCCTCCTACTCTAGGTAATGACGCGAGAGCTGGCCATGGCAATCTTTCGTACAACCAACCTTATTCGATGGTCGAAAGTCGTGCTCATTACTTGCCAATTGGGATGCCCCCTCTGGGATTAACATATAAAGAAAATCCCTAGGACTTGTATTGAATTTGCCACAGGTCTTAATCTAACGTGATATTCGACGGAAAACCTCCTTTATCCCATTGGCTCTGCCGTACTATCTCATCGTCACCCTATCGTCGAGTCGATTCTCTTAATCCAAATCTCTGATTAGATGACAAGGCGAAGCCATTGGATCGGAGCAGGAGGACTCCACACTCATGGAATGGGGTCAAGAAGAGACCGAACAAACAATTCGACCGCGGCCCCCTCACCACCATATCAAGGCAAATATCACCCAAGGCTCTTGAACTCATTCCAAAAACCGACTCAAGTAATATCAAGCTTGCATCAAACCTGACCGACGAGGTGTTTGAACAACGGAGCTCCGTCGGGGGGACGACACGTCGCGATCAAGGTCAAAATTGAGACGAAAGAGAGAAACGCTTGGGCTCTTTGAGTGCAAGCCTCTGAGGCAAGGTTACCCCTCACCCTCTTCCATCTTTAGAGTTAATAGGATTCTGAGCTCTTTCCAAAAGAAGTGACTTGGAAGCATTCTAGTGAATTGAGTAAGAAGTTCA